ATTCGGAAGTGATAAGACCATTGCAACAAGTTTCAAAGAAACTTAAAATGACTGAAGGGAAGATTTCATCAAAGAAAAGAGAATCTCTAAGATTAATTAATTCAGTTGTGAACGGTAAGCAGTTTCAGAAAGTTGACGGAAGACAAAGTCGACAATGGCGTTCAAATGTGAAAGCAAACATTTCCAAGCAAATAAAAGTTAATACACCTCATGAACGAAAAATGTTTAATCAAATGCCTAATGAGTTCGTTAACAATACGTTTGACACGTTTATAATGCACCCAATAATGTCTACTGCAAGTACAACAGCTGTTATTATTGAAACGACAGAAACTGCTAAAGAAGAAGAACGTGAAAACACTACAAACTTGCTTTTACTAACTTCCCCTCCTGATTTTGGAAATCAAAAATTTGTTACTACAGAATTCAATAGCTCAGTAGCATCTCCTCCTGAGGAAATAAACTTTTCTGGAGAACAAGTAGAAAATATTGAATTTACGGATGGAAGTGAATTGAGTTTTGGGACAGAACAAAACCAAAGTATAAACAAAGTAGAAACCAGGGTAAAGCATAATACTTTGTCTGAGAATCACAAAGACTTAAATCAAGGAACTCAGACATGGAATGTCTACATTTGGCAAAACCCTTACTTTATTGGAGCATTATCTGGCTTAGCTGTATTGATGGTTTTGGTAATCTTAGTTCTTTGTGTTTTTTTAACGGGAAAGAAAAGTTCAACAGGTTTGAAGAAAAGCGAAAAGAAGTCCTCATCTGCAGTAAATAAGCATAAGTTACCTGCAAGATCAGAGCAGTTTTCGGATATTGATAACAGCTCCGAAAAGGGTCGGAATAAGTCATTAAATTGTGATTCCGTCCCGACGAAGAAGAAAAAATGCACTCGTAGTCACTTTGGTCTGAAAACAATAAAAGAAGAGTGCTCTCGAAGTCAAGATAGAAGAAATTCCGTGGAAGACGAAGGGTGTGGTTTCATAAATAGCAAAACTCTCAATAGAGAGCCTAACAAAAATCCTTGTGAGAGATTGAAAAGACTTCAGGAAAATGTGAAACTAAAGCAGATGAGGGAAAAAGCCCCAAGAAAAAAAGCAGAAACGAAAGGAAATCATGCACAAAGGAGAGTGAAGAGTGATGTATCGAACAATTTGTTTCATCCTGAAAAATTTCTTGAAGCTGAATCTTCCGATTCTGAAAGCGGTAAAAATCAGAATGCTTCTAAAAATTTGAGACAGCTGTTTTTTCTAGATATGCCATCAATGCATCCAAACTTGAAGCTGCATGCAAATGATTAATTAATTAGTGCATTTTTTTTAAAAAAAAACTAATTTACAACAGTTGAGACATACTACTTTGGGTTAGCAGGAAAAAAATGAACAAATATGTTGCAAATCAGACAAAAAGAAAATTATAGTAGTCTCAATTTGAAGTCATCCGATTTTCAAGTAATTTCTCAAAAAGAGTTGCAGTTGTGAGTCACAATCTTTGGCAAAATATTTGATGATAGAGTAAACACTGATATTCAAATTTCAACAAATAAAAATATTTTTTGATTAGACGTAGTGTTTGCTTTTTTTCCTAATAAATTTATCTAATACATCAATGAAAAAGTATAAAAGTTTAAAGAAAACAACTATATGTTTTAACTGCTATATGTTAAACAACTATATGTTCTGCATTTTGCATTAGGAATTCTCTCATTTAAGACGGAAATATACTATAAATTACCTTATTTGCTATTCGAATTTTAATTCTTTTAAACGATGCAAAAATTTAAATTACGTTACAATTTAATATTTTTCCGACTATTCTTAAGTAAAATTATAAAATAATAAAATCTCATATATTTCTCAATAATTTTCTCAATAATGAAAAGTGAATAATAAAATAATAAAGATAGAAAACTTAATTTGCATTATTACGATTTGCTAGTTACCCATTGGTCAAGTATTTTATTTCTTTATGCCTTTCTTTTTATTCTCTTTGTTTGGCTCGACTTATATAATCACCACTACATTTAAAGTCATGGGTTGCAAAAGTTGCATCAATTGGTGTTTGTCCTCTTCTCGTTCAATGGGCAGGTTTGTTTTTTTTAGTTCCAACTGATGTACGGTACTTAATACATCACAAAATTCTATTTCTCCTCCAATATTCCTATTTAAATTAAAATCGCTCACAAGACAGTAATTATGAATAATTTTAATCTTAAAACGAACATAAAAATGCTTTAAATTAATAATATGTAAAAAAAAGATAAAAATGCACGCAGGGGAAAATAAAATAAAGATATTCTATCTAGAAAGCAATCAACTCCAAAAAGAGTAAAAATTATCTCCATTTTTCATTTGATCTTGTTGTGCTGATTTTTTAATAATGCTTCTACTAGCCTGACTTTTTATGACTCTCACAACTCATATTATTTGTGATTCTGGTGTTTATAAGTTGATGTAATCGAAAAGTATGAGGACATGAAAAATCTCACCCATTTTCTCAATGGGTAATACGTGTTAAATTTTTTATTTTTTTATAGAATTAACTTTGGAGAAAAACAGTCTATAATCGTGTGAAAAAAATTTATATTCGCTTAAGAAATTTTCCAGATATGGCGAAATACGAAAAAAATAAAATTAACATTAAGGAGTTCATACTTTCAACTCCTCTCCTCACCGAGCTATTTCTCATATTGCGGCTCCCACTCATATTTTCAGGTTCAGGAACTCACATCCGTCCAAAAAAGGTATATTAATTCAAAATAAGTACGATTTTTTTTTTGCGTTTGATTTTGAAGCTTAGAATATTGTCTGCAATAATTAATTGCCATTATAAGCTCTCAAAGCACTCACATTGAGTCCTAGTACGCAAAAATCTCATCTTTAAATCCAAAGTTATTCAGGGTGTTCTTTTCTTTCAGCATTATGCATACACTTAGCTATTGAATATAACACGTATGATTTCGTATTCAAGAGTCAATCAGTGAACAATCGCTGCAGGACATCAAACCAACCCTAACTAATTTCAAGGACGTGGTCCGACAAAAGACTGTAATTTATCCAATATATTTAATGACAAAATGATATCCATAGAGTACCAGATAGAAGAGACTGATAATCATACCGGATGCTGAAAAATTTTACCAACTATTTCTGTTCCAGTGAACTATATCCGGTAAATTGAGCTTCTTGTTTTTAAGGATAATTATGTAGTTATTCTTTATGGCAGGCGGTGAAGAAAAAGAGAATGATCAACCTATGTAATATTACTTGAGACAGAGATAAACTACGTGATTATATTTAAAATGCATGCCTTCGTTTGCGTTCTAATCTAGTTCAATAAGCTTTATCGATACACATTTTTAGATTATTATTTAATTATGTTGAACAATATCAGACAGTTTTATTACAATAATTATTTGATTTTTTTTTACAATAAAATTAGGAATTATTATGTAATCAAATGAAAAACATTGAAAAAAAATTGTCTATTCCCTGACGCATATTTGAAATGACTGATTCTTCCAGATATTAAATGTTCAAGAAATTTTGTCTTCTTTGATTTAAAATGTTTTTCTATTAAAATTTGAAATTATTTTAAATCAAATATCTTATCAATTATAGTAGCATTACTTGAAAAATAAGCATGAAAAAAATATTTTTTTCCCTTCTTTGTTAATAGTCTGTGCATGTTATTTACTCTTCATTTACAAAATTGAATTACTTAATTAAATTAGAAATATTCATTTTTTTTGCTATTAAAAGTCTTTTTAAAAGCATGACTTATTATACTTTAGATTATGAAAACAATGTTATTTTTAGAAAAAATCACGTTAACAAAATCTTAATTTAAATTCATAATTTAGAATCGTTGATGACATGAAATATATATTTACGTTCATATTATTTGTATTAAGAATTATTTAATGTTTTCTTTAGAAATTTTTTTATCGGTGTACGTTTATTTTTATGCAGTAATCATTATCGATATCCCCCTCCATATCAGTATCAAAAAATAAGTGCCCTTTAAACACTGAGGAAGATCCTTTTTATAAAACCATAACAAGAGTATGTCCTTTTATATACATTTATTCGTGCTTTATACACGTTATTTTGCTTTATTTATTGTCTAAAGGTTAGTTTATATGGTCCAAGTTCTTGAATCTGAGGACTTGAAGGAATTTTTCTGTCCGGAAAATTGGGTGATTCGTTGACACTATTCAAGCTCATGAATGTCACTGATTGGTCATACGAAAAACCTGTGTATGTGCATTGTTCATATTCAAGATTTAAAAAAAATCTTAGTTACATGAAGGAAAAATTACAAAATAAGATCAAATAAAATCATAATAACGTAAATGGATTAACCGATTACTTTATTTATACCAGAAAATATGAAAACGAAACAAAATGAAATGATGGATGACGTCATGAAACTTTAAAAACTAATTGGTTAACACTTTGACTACGAATTTTAAAAAATGATTTTTGTCCCGTTCATTATTCAGAGGGACAAAATAGGTCACAAATAAGGCAAATTTAGTATTTGGGATTTTTCTGACAAGTGGTTATCAATTTAGAGGCTGGGACATATATGTCCCGGCCGTACTTAATGGTGGGATACATATATCCATTAGTAATTTTTAAACATTTGTTGGGACAAATGAGCCCTGTTAGTAGTCAAAGGGTTAAGGGAAGAAAAACTTAAATGCAAAATCGATCATGTTCTACTATTAGCCAAGGGCTTTGGTGATCTTTTACAAACAAACAAACCTAACAAGCAAAGTTTCCATCAATATCAATAGGTCTTCGTCCTAGAACTAGGACTGTATAAACAGGCCTTAAGCATGGCTTCTAAACTTGATTAGATTTGGCAATAACTATTACGATTTCAGCTGATTTGCAATGACTATTTCTGTGGTAATTAAAGTTTACTAAATTTTAAATGAACTTTACCCTATATACATAAATACAATGAATAAAAAACGTCAAACTTACGAAGGGTCGCATCCATGTTATGGAGGCTTGTGATCTGTGCTTGTTGGTGGGGATTTTGGCAGCATTTAAATTAAAATCTGGATCCTCAAATAGTATCCCTCTCTCCCTGCAAAGTCTTTTCAAGTAATGGAAACCAAGAGGTGTGGGAGGTTCACCGCTACTGTAATTACTCGGGATACTACGATGAAGCCTCCCATTCGGCACTTCAGACACATGGTCATCCGGAGGATCGACCACAGATTGACCCATCAGTTGTCATGGAAGTCACCAATGCCAGCACATCTCTATGAATGTTATTTCATATCGATAAAAAAATTACCTGAAAATAAATAATTGAGATTTTAGAATACATAAGGTATGGTTGATAAGGAAAATGACTTACAAAATTGTAATAATATTGCTTCACAACATGTCTCTCATGGGCTGCAATAGTGGCACAATTAAAGAAAAACACGCGTTTTGGACTAAGAACAGGTGTAAATATGAAAAAAATCAATTTGAAGGTAATCTTTGCTTAAGCAAACTAAAGCATTTCTTATGCATTTTGCTTAGCAATGAAAACTTTAAACCCACTTATCTCAGAACTTGATTTTTTGAGTTGTGCCACTATTGCAGTCCATGAGCGATATTGAAAAATTGACATCTCCAATTGCAGATTATAACATCCTTATAACCCTATAGCTATTTTTAGTATCATATGTATCAGCAAATATTGTTTTTATGCAATCGAAATAATAATGTGTCCAAAAAAAATAATTAGGACTTTGCTGAAAAATAAATAGTGACACTTCTTTACGCAACAAAACATCTCAATTATAAACATAAAAAATATTCATTAAAAAAGGGGGGAAATAACTTGACAGAACCCGAAAGGGAAATAAATTTCATATCTTGTAATTTTGCTGCAGATTATGCAGCATTGGAGTCAATTTTCAAATCCTGAAAAATCAGTCCCCAAACGCTTTTCATTTTCACAAAACTGTGGCTTTTCCCCATATTGACATTTTGCGCCATTTTGTGAATAAGCATATACAGCTCGGGCTCCTTAGATAGGCTAAACTTGACATAATAGTCATGAGTAACTGTTGTGAACTCGCAACAGTTGTGAAAATAGCATATTATTCACAAAAATTCACCTTCGAAAAACTGCCTTAAAAGGCAACCACTTACATTTTATCTAATAACTGTTATTATGAAAGTTGTCGAGCCACTTAAGTTCTTGTACTAATGCTTGAACACACGCTATAATTTTTAATTGCAAATTATTTTTCGTAGTAAATGCCTCAAAAATTGTTCATATGCTTATGGGAAAGTACACCAACTTTCCTTACCAACCAACTAGAATTACTTCAAAGTTCGTTTATAAATAGCATCCATTTTCTTCAATGAGGTAAAAGTGAACCATCAAGTACACGCGATTACCTGTCGGCTGAAGAGAAAGGCAGAAACGAGTCTACAGACAAACAAATACACACACGTGAAGAAGAAAAAAAAAATAATTATAAAGAAGAAACAATAATGAATGTTAAGGTCAGCAGAGCGCCTGAAGTCAGCGTCGAGTGCATAACACCGTTACAATGAAATACGTTTTGATGGAGGAAGAATGCGGAAGTTTTGATTCTTCATTGGACACTGAGTTGCCAATGAAGGTTTAGTATTAGGTCTGTTGAACCCAGGCATTGAAATTTAATTTACAGAGAATGATGAGCGGAATTGAAAATGGGAGTTTTTTAACTGTAACTTGATGTCATTAAAAGAGTATCAGGAGGATTATATTAACCTTATTCGTGAGATCTTTTTGACCGAGAGAGCGACCACGAATAAGAGACCATTCTCATTAATAAGAAATAAAACTACTGAATAAACATTTTCTAATCAACAGGTATAAATAGGAACAATAGAACTGATTGAAAATGAAGTAGGAAGATGTTTTTTCATTATCTTCTAATTCATTTTTTAGTTCAATAAATTGAAACTTTCGTCACGAAAAGATTTTGCCTACTACTCCAAATGAATGTGAAAACAATGTTATTTTTAGANCTTTGTGCTAGAACATTGTGTTCATTGGCGAGCGAGCGCAGCGAGCCATGGCTCACGGCGTGAACCACATAGGATTGCGTAGCAATTCTCGGGGGTTGGCGAGCGTTAGCGAGCAGGGGGCGGAGCCTCCTAGTTCTATAATATTTTCTTTTGAGAAGTTGTTTTATTTTTTAAAGTATATGTTAGCTTTTCAAGTTACAATATTATTAAAGGTTGGTCAAATTTACAAGTAAACAAACATATTATACTAACAAATAAATACTTGTTATGCATTTCATCAACACAATATGATGTAATATTTATTGAAAGTAATTTTTATTTAAGTATGATTTCAAGTAGTTCTTGCACAATGAAGAAAAAAGATTTGTTATTAATATTGTGATTTAGTGTACATTGTAAAAAATTACGGATCAAATTATGGTAAAAAGCCGACCTAGTGGCCGAGTGGTTAGCGTGTCTGACTGCGGAACCGCTGGTCACGGGTTCGAATCCATGCTCAGGGCATGGATGTTTCTTTCTCTCTGTGCTCTTCGTCCGTTCTCCTTTGTGTGTGATTGTGTGAATGTGACCCGCCCTATAAACGGGTTTGTGGTTGTGTGACGTGGGCAACGCTGTTCCACCGCTGTGGCTTCGTCACAGTTGCCCACTGGGTAACGAGAAGAGAGTAGCAGTTCTGGCATTCCTGTGGCCAATGGGACAACCCCCACGTGTGTTGTACAGTGCCCCATGTGTGTTGTACAGTGCCCCATGTGTGCATTGTACAGTGCACGAAAAAAAATGAACCATCCTAAATAACATTTGATCTAATGATCGGATCTTCACGTTTTATGACTCATTCTTAATGGTTTGAGGTAATATAAATACAGGGTGATTCTAAAAAGATGGGCAAAATTTTAGGAAGTGGTAGTACGCACCCAAGCAAACAATTTTTATCAAAGAATGCATGGTCGAATGCAAAACGCAAAACCGCTAGAGGGCGTCAAAGTTCATGTTCTTATATGAGGCAAAAACACAGAAAAAACGATGAAGTTAAGTTATAAAAGCAAATTTAACGACATGTGATTACAATAAGTGTTCAAAACAGTGGCCGGCAGCGGCTATGCGCGCAGTACAACGGCGAAGAAAAGATAGACTAACATTCTGAAACACACCTTTCCCTGCAGCGGCCAAAAGCTCTGCGACAAGTTCTTCTGCAGATTCAATGGGAGTCTACTACATATGAGCCTCCAGCTGTCCCCACAAAAAGAAATCCAGACATGAAAGATCTGGCGAGCATGGTAGCCAAGCTATAGGATCACCTCGATCAATCCATTGGTTTGGAAAGGTTACGTCCAGATAGTTTCGCACTTCTCGTACGTAATGAGCTGGTGCTGCGTTCTGAGGGAACTAAATGCATCGTTTGCATCAAACAACTTTCCAAATGCGCCAACACCTTTGCATTTTGTTTTCGACCATGCATTCTTTGATAAAAATTGTTTGCTTGGGTGTGTACTATCACTTCCTAAAATTTTGCCCATCTTTTTAGAATCACCCTGTATATAACTACTTTAAAAGGCTATTTCTCCGGAATTGTTCAACTCAAATTTTGTATTTGGCAATGAAAAATTACATACTTGAAAATGATGTAGAAAATTATATATCTTCCAATTCAAAATTTTTAGACTATTATTAAATGAAATATTGAAAAATAATAAATATATGCAAAATTGTATTTTTTGAGGAACCTTATTTCCCAGCTTTCGGTTAACCCCTATATTTTGGGGAGTCAGAAATCCGTGATACTTCGGAAAAAGGTATGTTTACATAGAGAAAGTTCGTTTTTGTGTCTTATTTCATAACTTTAAATATCGTCTGCACTAATAAATTTGCATATTTGAGGTCCCCTTCCCCTCAAGCCATTAAGAATGAGTCCTAGAACGTGAAGATCTGATCATTAGATTCTATGCATATTTTAGTAATCTGAAAGAGTGAAACAATTTCACTATTAAGTCAATGAATTGATGAACGGCGACATTGTTAGAATTTTGCCTCCTTGAATGTCCTTCATGAAATCATAAGAACCTCCATGAATCCTCATACTCTCATCTCTGCCATTCATTATTTTCTATCTCCATCTTCATAAACGTTTACAAAATTTGAATATATTTTTCAAATGCAGTTTTGGAAAAGAACAGTTTTCATCGTAGTTAAAATGACCTACATGAATGATGCAATTACAAAAATGCCATTGATGGAGAGATATTTTTAGAAAAGAGAAATAATTAGATAATATTTTATGTTAATTTGTCTATCATGTCCTATTAGTGTCGATTAATCGAATCTATCAGTATTGTCAATCAGTCAAACCTATTACTAATGTCAGACCAATATAAGATAAAACATTAGTTTAAAAAAAGAATAAATGATACGAAAAACATAACGTAGCGTTTTTGACTAAAAGAAAAATGCAATTATTTTCGAAACAACCGCATAAGTTAAGATGTTACGTCAATCAATCATAGAACTGCTGCATTGTTAGAATTATGCATCTCTTCCATGAAATCTTATTCTCATCTCTGCCATTCATTATTTTCTATCTCCACCCGATAGGCTGCCATGTAATTCTTACGCCTGACACATGAAAGGGTGTTGAGTGAGAAAGAGCAAAAAGGCCCTTTACGGGTGACTGAATCGATAGGGCCTTTTTGAATGGACCCATCATTAATGGAAGGTCGTCTTGGCGGGTCCCGAAAGGTGTCGTCTATCTCGAAACAATAAGATGTTTCCTTCCTTGAATTTATTTGTTTATTTTTGGCGTTTTTCTTATTAAATTTTCATACCTTAAGGTCTATTTACTCTGTCCAAGTTCTTGAATCCGAGAAATTGGAGGAATTTCTCTGTCTAAGAAATTGGCTGATTCGTCGACACTATCCAAGATTTTGAATGTCACTGATTGGTCGGATGGAAAACTTGCGCATGCGCATTGTTCATATTCAACATTATAAAATAATGCTTAACTTACATAAGTTTAGAATTACTAAATAAATTCAAATAAAATCATAAAAACACAAATAAACCGTAACAGATTTATTTGGACTAAAATGCATGAAAACAGACAACAAAATAACATAATCTGATGCCTGCTTGTTGACGTCACAAAACCTAAGACGCTGATTGGTTAAGGGAGGAAAAACTTGGAAAGTAGTCTCTACTATCGTCCAAGAACTTGGATCAAGTACTCGGATGATCGTTTACACGATCCAAGCTCAAAGCAAAACAAGTTTCCATCA